ACTTGTTGCTTTTCGCTTGTATATCTTCCAGTTTGTGAGAAATCAGACATATATCATCGGCGAAGTCCAGGTCCTTCAAGATTTTTGTGTGAAATCCATAAGTAGGAAGTAATGACTTTAAATGTATGCAGTGCATTTGAGATGTATGGATATATGTGCAACGTTGTAATGCAACAGTTTCGAGGACAAATACTCCGACGTTCAGACGAATCAATAATTAAGTAATTGTGTTTCTTATGTTTTCAGAAATTTCATTGCGTCCAAATTCCGATGAATCAAGTGAGTTCCTCATACGTGTTATGTATTATAATTCCTACTATTAATGCCGAAGAGATCAGAGTTATAGCTATTGTAAGTTTATGCCGAATAGCAGATAGTACAACGATCGATTCTGAAGTCGACCAATTTTATGATAGGGGGAGATATATCATTGTGGAGTTTGCTACTGACAATGTTTGTCAGTAGTATGTAAAAAGACGTTCATTGGCACAAAACTACCAAATAGTGAAAAGAGACATTTAAACTGACGGAGAGGGGAAATGGAACAGTATTGCAGCAAAACATTATGTGACGTGAGAAGAAGGCAGAGAAACAAAATAAGAAGGAGGCAGAAGTAGGTGCGTCAGTGGTATAACGGTAAGGACGCTCGCCAACCATGCACATGGTTCGGGGTTCGATCCTCGGCCACAGACGCACTTCTTTACCTCGCTGAGCCAGAAACAATGCTGGTAAAGAGGAAAGGTTGGGCATGAGGCTAGCACACCCATCCTGTAAAATAAACACTGCTACAGAAACTTCAAGCCACTAGCTTGAAGCCCTATGTTCCACTGGGGAAAGTGAAGGAAGAAAAAAAGAAGTAGCACAACACACAGAAAATTTATGCAGATGACGATTTTCATATAAGGTGTACATAATTCCCCTCTGTATGTAAATCGAATCGCAAATTTATTCCGTATCCAAGCCGTTATCTTGTCTTTTCCTGTTACATAATGAGTTAGTGATTGATCACCTAAGGTATGTTACAGGGTTATACAAACATATGGGTCTATGACTGCTGAACTAGGCTTTGAACACGTTTATTCTGTTCTCTCAGCACTTTTGAGCTCATATTTCTATCTTGTGTGTTACCTTGGTTAGATCGCCTGTTGGATAAATAAAAAGTGTGTTGATAGCCACAGTTATCCACAAGCATTGACTTTCTGACACCAATATTATACATTTCTTAGTTAATTCCATATGCCCCTTCCCCCATCGATGCGATGGTAGTCACTTAACGGACAACACATAATTATTATTATTCCCTTGGCTTCCTAGTGGAACATAGGGCTTCAGATACACGTCTCTACTTGCGTCTGTCTTCTGCTCTACTTTTCACTTGCATCCATGTTAGTCCATACTGTTTCAATTCCTCTTCACTCGATCTCCTCCATGTCACACTTGCACCGACGAACCACTCGCCGCTTCCTTTTCGGGTTCCACTCGAGCTATGGCCTGACGCGCGATGTCACCCAATGGCCTCCTCAGCGAGTGTCCAATCCATCTCCACTTTCTCCTGCATATTTGTTGTGGCGGTTGGTTCTTGTTTTGTTTGTTCCCATAGTTTCTTGTTGGTGATTCTTTCCGGCGGCCATCTGATCCTCAGTAGTATGGAGCGAAGACAGCTATTGATAAAGGTCTGCAACAGGCTGTTGGAAATATTCTTTGTGACCCGCCGCCAAGTTTCTGATCCGTATAGAAGAACTGGCTGACTTGACATTTGTATTGAAAATCTGAATTTTGATGCTGAGTGACGAAGATTTCCAGATTGGCTTCCGGTTGATGAATGTGTTTCTCGCCTTCCCGATTCTCGATTTGACATCCTCGTCCGTTCCTCGTGTAGTTGAGACAATGCTCCCTAGATAAGTGAATGAAGTAATCTCTTTCAAATCCCTCCCGTTGATGGTGATTGGCATTGGATGTTGCTGTTGTTGTTGTTGGTTGGTTATTTTCATAACCTCCGTCTTGTCTACGTTCGTTCACCTGGAGTCCTGTCTTCACCGGCTGCTTCTTCGACCAGTTTGTCGGTTTTCGCTTGTAAGTCTTCGATCTTGTGTGACATCAAACATAAATCATCCACGCGCGAAATCCAGGTCTTCTAGGTTCTTCACGTCGGTGGTCCAGGATATCCCTGTCTTCTCGTTTCCCACTGTCTGACGCATAATCCAGTCCACCACAATTAGGAATCAATATCATTGGTGATAATAAGCACCCTTGTCTGATACGAATAGGAAAGTTTATCCAAACAGCAGAGTCGGAAGTTTATACTGACAACATTTTGACAAATGCTCTGAATATTTCTGGCTAGAGATATTAGGTGTTTCAGAAAGGATAAAATCGATTCATCTTTTGTCCGTCTAACTATTAGTCAGACTATATTTTGACTGATCTGTTTGCAGACGAGATATTGGGTCCACATTATCGTAATCCCACTAAATTTTTTACTCATCTTTTGAATTCTTATTTGAACAAGAAACTCTGACAGCAAACGAACCAAGAACGTGTTACTCAAAAAATGTGTCGAAGAAATTGGAGATGGATTGGGTACACGCCGAGAAGGCAGTCAGTTGGGAGGCATCATACGCTAGGCCAGTGCTCCAGTAGAATATCGATGGGAAACGACGAGTTGAGCAAGTGTCTGAGGGTGACATGGAGGATTTTTGTGTGAAGATATGATCAGAGACTATGCACAATTGTGGGTCCAGTTAAGTAGGATCTCAGAAAGTAGGACAAAGTGAAGACGTGCCTCAGTTGAAGCCGTATGTTCCACTCGGAATCCAAGAGAATTATAATAATAAAATAACATATTCTTTCCAAAAATCATTAAACTATGATTGTTCGATTGCATGGGGGATTTCATCATGAGCTGACATCACTTAGAGAATCACTGGAAAACCTGAGAGTACTGGACAGCTGTTTCGTCCTAGTTTGGATCTCTTCATCAGTACGCACCCATCAGTCGGGGTTTAAACCCAGGACCTTCTGGTTATAAGGCGAGCTCGTAGACCATTGAGCCACTGGGACCCGATCCAATGGTCCTTGAATTCTAACTTCTGCCAATTCACGGCATAGCGCGACCATTTCGCAATGTCTTCTTCTATGAGTTACTGCCTCATCTTCAATATGCTGTACCCTACTGGTCACAGCTTCTCACTAGAACTCCAGGTTAACTGCCTGAATAGGGCCAGTCGCTGGTGAGCATCAGATTAATTTTCAAGTATTGGTTTTGTAGGGATTTTGTTTGATTGCATGGAGGATTTCATCATGAGCTGACATCAGCTAGAGAACCACTGGAAAAGCTGGGAGTACTGCACAGCTGTTTCGCCCTAGTTTGGGACTCTTCACCAGTATGATTGATTGCATTTCAGAGATTGAATGACTGTGTTCACCTACCTATTTCAAACTAATCCCTTCTAATTAATCAATTAATCAATAGGGCGAGCACTTTGGAGTTGGTTCACCACAGGAATGAGTAAGTCTACTACTATTCTCTTCTATTTTAATTGTATAATACTGAAACCATAACTACATTTTAAGTTCTCCGAACCAAGTCCTTCATAATGCTGACCTCAGATTACTCAGATACTGACAATGTTCACTAAACACATTTACAGAATGTATGAGGATAATTCCACATTCGTGTAATTTAGTCAACTGTTTGACTTTGTGGATGATTTATGTCTAATACTGCACAAGCTCGATGGTCTACAGACGAGAGCCAACAAGTTGACAGAAGAGATAGAGGAGACGGCACACCAGATGGACATGAGAAAGACGGCGATGATAGGCAACCCAACCAACAAGAACAAGAATAAAAACTACAAGCACCAGTCATCATCAGTGTGGGGGGAGTTTGAATGAAGCCACCTGTTTTAACCAACCTAGACAGCGTCGTTTCAACTACAGGTGGCACAGATGAGGATGCTAAATGCAGGATAAGAAAAGCAAGACGGACCTTTTCGTTGCTCTGAGATAGGTAGGGAAATCTATTTCACTAGACGTAAGAAACAAAATCTAGAACTTCTGTGTGGTTCAGAGATTTGGCATGTCTTTCATCACAAGCATTTCCAACAGTCTTCTGCAGACGTTTATGAACCACTGCTTTTACTGGGTACTGAAGATCAGATAGCCGGCTGGGAAAGATAAGCAACGAGGAAGTGAATCAATGAACCAGCAAATATCCAGGAGGAAATGGAAACGGGTTGGATAAACGCTGAGAAGACCATGGAGTGACATCACGTGTCAGTCCCTTGAGTGGAAGCCGAACGGGAAACGAGAAGTTGGGTGTAGGTCTGCGTGTAATATGTAAAAGATTAAATGAGATGGAAATGAGAGCATTCGGACAATCTTGGAGCCAAGGAAAAAGATGGCAGGGAACAGAGTGCAATGGATATGTACTGCTGACACCTTATGCTCCACTGGAAACCCAAAAGAATAATAATAGTAAAGCAGCTAACTCATGGTGTAATCAAGTTGAGTATATGTCAGTTGCTGGACATTATTTGTAGCGGACACTGATGAGGTATAACAGAAATATTCAACAAACACTGAACATATTATTTACTTTGATTCTTTATATCAGGAATATTGACTACATTGAAATCATTGAATTAGTAGCCATTGATCAATTTCGCTGTTGACATATAACATATTTTGAAAATCCTCAGTGGGTCTTTGAAAATAAAAGGCGTTCAGTGAAGAGTTACCCCTCTTTTCGACGATATCATTCTCACGCTGCACAATTGCATTTATATAGTAAATTGTCAAAGCAACAAAAGGAATTTTCCCAAAGATGTATCACTGGAATTGTAAGTTTTTAGATAACAAATTACGTGGTGTAGAAAGCGTTAGTTAGGTAGAAACTAAAATGAAATTAAACATTTAAATTGAGTGACGTAATATAATTGATGGAGTTGCATTGAATTCAGCTGAAATTGAACAAGAGTCAAGTTATCAACGGTGGGAATAAGGGGTAGAAATTTAAAAGGGGTTAGGGGAATAAAATACTACAATTCAGAAACAAAACTACCTATTTGGTGTTAAGGTAGATCAGGCTCATTGTGAATTTAATGACTGAACAAACTTCTTTGTATTCAGAGTTCAGGATCTAGTATGCAAATTGCCATTGCTTCTGTGATTTGAAGAAGTTTGATTCGTTTTCCCCCTGTAGCGAATTCCCACGTTTTCTGTCGATGATTTTGAAGTTCGTTGTGGATAGATTAGCTTGGTTGGTGTCCAGATTTAACGAGGTATTCCAGAACAGAGCTTCTGTGTGGCGTGTCTTTTGTCTCCATTATAAAACCATGAGGGTGAGTATTCGATGATATGTCTGGATAGCAAACTCTGGGAACGGCTGATATACCTCGCTCCTCATGAGCAGATGAATTGGTAGATGCCCTGTTACATACAGACTGGTGTATTATTATTATTGTCATTAGTGTTCCCTTGGGTTCCTAGTGGAGCATACAGCTTCAACTGCACGTCTCCACTTGCTTCTGTCTTCTCCTGTACTTTTTACTTGCATCCATATTAATCCATACTGTTTCCACTCTTCTTCACACGATCTCCTCCATGTCACCCTTGGACGTCCCACTCGCTGCTTCCCTTTCGGGTTCCACTCGAGCTATGGCCTAACGCGCGATGTCACCCAGTGGCCTCCTCAGTGAGTGTCCAATCCATCTCCACTTTCTCCTGAATATTTGTTGAGTGATTTGTTCTTGTTTTGTTTGTTCCCATAGTTTCTCGTTGGTGATTCTTTCCGGCCATCTGATCATCAGTAGTATAGAGTGAAGACAGTTGTTGATAAAGGTCTTCAACAGGCTGTTGGAAATATTCTTGGTGACTCGCCAAGTTTCTGACTGGTGTAATAATAATAATAATCTATTTCATTGTCCTGGCTTCCCACTGTTAACAGAATCCTTGGATGTACGCAGTTGAGTCACTAATGCCTATCATATACGTTCTTTGTTTCTAGACACACACTATCCATTTCAATCTTATAGCCGTAAGTTGTGTATGTTGAAAATTTTCTCTTTCTGACATTTTGATGACAGTCTACTTCGAAATTATTCCAAATTCCTACAAAAAGGAGGCATAATTCAGAAGTGTCAATCCTCACCTCATTAACACCTACTGGATAGAGGATGTTTTGAGGCTGTGTTTTGAGAAGTTGTGGCCACTGGGCTCTCCCATGTTCAGGTGAGATGGATTGTATTGGCTGATGTTACAGCTGCATCACGAATTGACTGACAGTAGTAAGAATTCATGGGTTATTGAATTTTGCCTCAATTGGTTAAATGATCAAGTCAATGAGATTGACTTCGTCATCTGAAGCCACAGGAGTTGAACGCTCGTGGGATTGCGGGTATGTAGAGTTTTTCTATAGTTTGGTTTGTAAGGGTTAGTCATGTTTTTACGGGTTGATCACGGGTTGATATCAGTTAGAGAACCATTGAAAACCAGGGAGTACTGGACAGCTGCTGTTTCATCCTAGTTTGGGAATCGTCGACAGTACGCACCCACTGGGATTCGAACCCAGGACCTTCCGGTTACAAGGCAAGCTCATATTCCATTCAGCCACTGGGACCCGATTCAATGGCTCATGAATTCTAACTTCTACCAATTCGTGATTTAGCGCGACTCCAACCAATATCGTTGATGGGAAGTCCATCCTCACACGTGACAAGTGGTTGAACCTCACTAGTCACGACTTCTCACTAGAACTTCAGGAAACCCCATCCTGTAGCAAGTCAGTAGAGAGCATCAGATTAATTTTCAAGAGTTGGTTTGTAAGGATTAGTTATGTTTTTACGAGTTGACCAGTGAGTGCGTACTGCCGATGATTCCGAAACTAGGATGAAACAGCAACTGTCCAGTACTCCCTGGTTTTCTGTGGTTCTCTAAACGATATCAATCCGTGATCAACTCGTAAAAAGGTATGCAGAGTGCTGGTTTTTAATTACCTCTAACCAATATTGGTTTGTAACGCAGCCTACATTGAAACTGTCAAAATCTCTACGAAAACACTATAAGATGTGACATATAAATGATCACTTTCCGATTGTTCCAGATTTCCTTCATTTCAGTGTGATTAGCAGAAATAAGAACTAACTTCAATGTATGGTGGATTCAGAATATTGTTGGTTGTTGTTATAGGCGTTCAATGTCGTCATTCTTAGTGTACCCCGCCAATGGATATGGTTCTTGTTTAATTCAAATTTCCAGGGTTTGCCTTGCTAACCAGCAAAATGTCTCAACGATATAAGCTTACCAGCCGAAGACGTTTACGAAAGACAAATTCATCTGATCGTAGTGAACAGAAATCTTATTGTCTTCACCAAATGATTCACCCATATCGAATGTAAGATGATGCTGTAGGACTGATCTGCGGCGATTCTTGGTTTCAAGATAACGTGTGAAGGATTGAATGTATAGACTGCATCAGCCCTAATAAACTGATTGCTCACGAAATCTCGCTGTGGATACAAAAGCCTCATATGGCTCATTTCCAAACTCCCAAACGTCATCTTTGGGAGTAGACGTGATATCCATTAATCGATCAGAGCCCGTGTGTAACGTAAAGCGGTTTACTAAGTCCCACATTACGACTTCTGGAAATGGCAGCTGAAATTGACAGATGTGAAAAGACTAGCGGTTTGTGACCATATGGAGTTACTCTGGATTTATGGTTTATGGTGGTATAATTTGTTTAGTAGTAATGGGGTAAGGTCTCCAGTGTTAGGTAGGGAGAGAAGCTCAGTCGGGGAGGTTTTTGTGTTTTGCATGTCGAGAGAACCCCCTCCCCAACGAGCAGTGTTAGTTAATACAGTGAATCGTGACGAATCAGCTGACCGAGGTTTCGCACATCACTGAAGTCAATTGTCACTTTGGTTCTTCAATTCAAAGCTGCGTTATTCAGCGTGGATAGAATGTGCTACAATTGATATTTTGCGAGGCTAACGTTAGAATTGACTATCGAATAGTTCTCTTACTTTTTCTTGACCTAAATAGGAACGCAATATAAAATATGAGCTACAATAATTTGGATGGGGAATGTAGCAACTATGACTTGCTTATCAACGAAGACATCTATGTTAGCTGAATAGAAAGGTCGTGTAAGACATTTAGATAAACGACTTTTAATCACTTCAGCAATAGTTTCACCTTTGAACACCAAACTCACAAACATTTTCTTCATTTCATTAGTTGTCTGCTGTTTACTTAAAAATGTACCACTGGTAGAAACTATCTGATATTTGTGTGAACACATCGACCTAAAAAGCATGATCACTGCTTGCTAACTAACTATCTAAAGCAGCTTTTGTTGGAATGTCCGCTACGTGTGAAGTTTAAATTTAACAGTGTCATCTGTAATCAAAGGAATGGAGTCACTACGGGGTCTCCATTAGGACCTCTTCTAGCGGATTTCTCCATGGCAAGCTTGGAGAGTGGTCCATTGGGAGAAATTATCTCGAGGATGCAATTGTATGAGAGATACATTGATGACACCCTTTATTATTTCTGATAAGAGTTTTTCATATGCTGAACTTCTTGGAAATTTTAAAGGATTCTCACCTACCGATGCCTTTCACTGTCGAAGAACAGTAAAATTTCGCATTTTACTTATTAGATGTTATGTTAGATAGAAGAGAGAATGGTACGTCGAAAAGGTTGATTCACAGAAAGCCAAAATTTACAGGCCAAAAGACTCACTTCAACAGTTGGGTACCTCTAGGCAGAAGGAGAAATCTCTTCCTTCTGTATGCTCCAGAATTCAGAAAATCTGCTCTGTAGGAACAGTCGATGTAGAAGTAGAAAGGCTTCACACAACTCTCTTAAATAATGGTTACCCTAAAACGTTGTTTCCAGCCAAATCACAGTGCCAGAGAAGACACAGTTTATGAGTTTGGTGTTCAAAGGTGATACTACAGCTCACGAGACTAAAATTCGTTTATCTAAATGTATTCAACTCTCTTTTAGTGAACCTAACTTACAACTAATATTCACCAGCCGAAATATGATTCGACAATACTTCAGGGATGAACTACCGCTTATATCCATCTCTGTGCTCGTATAATAATTCGCATGCTCGTGTGGAGCTGATTACAATGGAGAAATCGACAAAAGCGTGCAGCAGTAAAATAAACATAAACAGTACAGAAAACAAATGTAGGGAAAGTACAACTAACCTTAGTGTTGAAAGGTGGTAGCTCAGAATATCCAACCTTAATCAACACAGTATCATAACTTCATCGATTGACTTTCTCTTCTCCCCTAACACTCTGCGTCTAACCGCACTATTGATAATCATATCACCTCAGGCTAACAAGATCAGTTATACGCAGACACCAGTAGCGAAGAATCGCTAATCTCTTCATATCTTACACTTTTAGCACTACAATAGGTAAAAGGGAACTGTTGAATCCTAGCGGGATTAGCCTGCTTCCCTGACAACCGTATTCAGGTGCACTAGTGAACCAGGAGTAGACTACTACTTGTCAACCACAGCCCACGTATCCCAGCCTCGATTTCCGGTCAAAGAATTCCTAAACCTCACTAGTTTTATTACTGGCAGGCAGTAACAATACTGATGACATAATTTAAGTCAGACAAGAGGAGAGTTACTCACCTGTGATCCTGGTTGGCGGTCGCACTAAACATATATCACGAATGAGCAAGAGTTAGAATTCATGACCTGGCCACTGGATTGTGTCTCAGTGGCTTAATGGTCTACGAGCTCGCTTGCCTCAAAACCGGAAGGTCCTGAGTCTCAACCCTGTTGTTTGCGTGCTGATGAAGAGTCCCAAACTAGGATGAAACAGATGTCCAGTCATTCTCTCACTTATGCGCCAGCTTGTCATGTAAATTCGGTAACCAATCAAATCGTTACAAACCAACACTGCCTAATTTATTGTTGAAAGAAACACATCAGTATTACTTTTGCACATAACTCAATTTCTTTTAACAAATACCTCTGTATTTTCAGGCCAATCAGCATTAAAATCTTGGGTCGATAGTGGTATACGTGAGTGAATAATCTTGTTGAAGAATTCATCACATTTCTTAAAACAAACATTATTGATTTCTTATATATTATTTCAAAATAATCCCAGCAAGTGTTTAAGCGAAAAAATCTGAGCAAGATCAGTTTTCTGAACGTTTCGCTGTGTAAGCCACACCTTCTTCAGTAGCAGAATTATTCGAATTTCGATAAGCCTCACAATATGTCGTCAAAAAGCTACATTAATTGAAGAGAACTCCTTTGAAAGTCACTTGTCGGTAGGCGTTTGTACCGATAGAAAAATGTGTAAACAGTCATCACACATTTTTGTAACGGCTAATGTCACAAGTCAATATAGCAAAAATATTCATTCAAACATCTATAAAACACAAAATAATTGAACAAAGAATGTCCTTTTCGATAAATTCCTCTTCTGGCTCTACAATTATAAATGCATGTTTATACACATAGAATATGAAAGAGCTTCTCTTGAAATGTACAATGAATGTCCACTTTTTATTTAATAAGGAACTATACGGATAAATCGATGGTGTGGTAATGGGGTCACCAGCAGGACCCATTCTAGTCGACATTTTCCTTGCGAAACTAGAGAATGGGCCTTCAAAGGATATAATTGATGAACTAGAATTTTACTGTCGGCACATGGATGACACATTTTGATTGTGAAAATTGAGAAGGAAGCAAAGAACATCCTGGACAAATTTAACGAGGTTCATTCTGCAATAAATTTTACTATTTAGAAAGAAAACGATTCTAGTATTTCATTTCTAGACGTCCTTATGACCAAAAAAGAGGATGGAGCAATTAGAAGAAGTGTATATAGAAAACCTACATCAACTGACTGTCACTATACATATTTTCTCAGCTTTGTGCCATTGAAATACAAACGCAGTCTGATAAAGTGCTTTGTTCAGAGAGCAAGAGCAATCTGTTCGGGTGAATGTCTTGATGAGGACTTTAATAATATTAAATGGTTGCTGAGTGAAAATGGTTACCCAGAAACGTTTATTGATAAGAATATGAATCTAAAATCAAAGCAGCCCAAGTTAACAACAGTCCCAAAAAGGGCCATATTCTTACAAATTCAGTTCTTTTGGGACAGCATCAGCGAGTTACTAACACAGTGCCTTAGAAATGCAGTAAAAAGAGCAGTCCCTGCTGCTCAATTACGCTGTGCCTTCAAAACCACTCCTCTTTTGCGTTCGGGAGTTAAAGACAAATTGCCTAATTCCGCCTCTTCCATGTGTATCTACCAATTTAACTGCTCCAGTGGAGTGAGCCAGTTACATTGGCCGTACAATTAGGCGTGTTTCTCGTCGAATTTCCGAACATCACCCTGACAAACAAAATCTATCCGCAGCGCTATTCTATCTCATCTTGTGGATACAGAACACAAGATTGATGTTAGCCATGCTTTCAGGGTCATTTACCGCACACCAAAGAATTTCAATTTTGCCTTAAGATTTTGACTACTAAATATTACTGAAGCTGTGGGGATCCATATTAACAAGCCTAATTTGTGCATCCCTCAAGAAGTTAGTTCAGGCATTATCCTTACCTTGGCCATTTAGGTTTGAATGATCCTGAATTTTGTGGAATTTTGATATTTTATTTGCTACTATACCTTTGCTATTATTATAATTTAAGCATCTTTAATGAACTGTGGTAATTCCATTGTGATCTTACTTTACAAATCGATATTATTTAAAAAGCACACCAATATTGTTATTGACTACTATTCTAGAATATTCTGGGTATATAAACATATATAGGTATATAATTGTAGAGCCAGAAGAGGAGGAAATTATCGAAATGGATATTCTTTGTTCAATTATTTTGTGTATTAATGTCAAATTGTCATAAGTGCATCATTTGTCTGTATGTGTGTGTGCATGTTGTTTGTCATATGGAAACAACATCAGACCATATGTGAATAAACGTGTTAATATTTTTACAGAGTACACAACATCGGATTGAATACTTCTCCCATATAGGTGGTGATAAGTCTATCCCTTCTCTCCTATTTATTGCATTCCATGTAGTTAAAATATGCACTGCTTTAGAGGTCATCTTTTCTATATGTGGTGACACTGTCGAAGTCGATCTTATGTTTGCTGTCTATAGGATGCACTGCAATAGACTCGTTAATTCTACTTCATTTCTAGGTGGACATTTCGTGCACAGCCAGTGTTCATTCACTCTAACCTTCACCTGTCTACTGCCTTCCCCTATATGGCAAACCTCACATTTTGAACACTTTATCCTATACGCACAGTTGCATTTTGTGTCATTTTGGAAACCACATTTCTGACATTCACCGAAGCTTTTTGTAAAGATTTAGAGAATTCAACCATTTTATGAAGAAAGTACTCTTTAAAGTTGTTCAGTCGTGTCCTTCCGGACTTTTCAATTTTCAGTTTTTGTGCCCTTCTCACCCTTTCTATTGATGATTTCCTTTAGAAAGTCTTTCGAATATCCATTTCCAATCAAAATACCGGGAGATCTCGTTCTCCACACCATCATTATCTGTTATAATGTTGCTAGTTCTCTTTACGAGATTTAAAGTTACTGAATCTTTCATTCTTATTGGATGAATTCAATTGGAAATTGAAATATTTGTTTGAAAGCACCGGTTTCCCGGATATCGTGAAATTTATATATTTTGATGGTTAATGAAATCTGAATACTTCTGCTGCTGGAAAAGCTGTGGCTGGCAGCGAGGAGATCGCGAAAATCTTGTTTTGATTTTTTTTCAAAACACACGCAGGGATTATTTTCATTTATTGTTTATGATTCAGTCTGATTCGGGGCTCAAATTATTCCAGGAAATTCTTAATATCTACTGTACGGATACTTGTAATTATTGATTTATTGATTAAATTTACTTACTTTTCAACATTATGCATTTATCTATAGCCAATACTGGTTTTCATAAAATACCTCTGTCTGATTAAGGTCAATCGCGATGCCGGATAGCTGAGGGGTAACATCTCTGACTGCGTCATTGGTTGACGCGGATTTCAATCTCAGAAGGGACATAGGTTCCTTCAAAGGTTTGGAGAAACGCTTTGATGACTGGTGAGTGCCAGCTAGCATGAAACCTAGGTGTAGACAGTGCTTCCTGCCGATTGCTTCCAACCATTTAGTACCACTTACAGGACACTGTTGGTACCAAGCGCCATTCAGTCACCTCAGGATAGTTCTTGTCAAGAATTAACAGACAGTTTCTGTTTTGTGTAATTAGGAAAATACTGTCTACAACCCCCCTCCGCATCACCGATTCCCAGAAACTTGAGTTGATCAGATTTCTTTACTTCTACACATATTACTAGTGATACATATGTGAGTAGTTGGAAGCTACTCATGCAAAGTAACACTGATCTAAACACTAGACTGATGTTTTATTTGTTTAAGGGCATCCTTATCAGTCATGTATCTGATATAGACTCAGCTCAGACAACCCCACTCGCATGTGCTGAAACCACCCAACTGGTAACACGTAGAATTATACTTGTAATTTGCAAGTTGAATATCTTAAAATGGCAAAATCCTCACAAGCATTTTGCATTAGACTTAGTGCAAAATACCTCGGTCTAGTTCTATCTTCCGACCTTACTTGGACATCTCATATCCTAACGATTTCTAAGAAAGTGTTCTGTCTAATCTACTACATTAAGAAACTTAGACAATCTGGAATCACCCAACCTCTACTTTCACAATTTGTCAACTCTTGTATCTTACCTATTCTACTTTACTGCTCCCCGTTAGTCTTTCCAGGGCTACTGAAAAAGGACTATACCATCATGAGAAGGATGTTGAAGGTAGTTAGTAGGACTAGTGGTGTAAAACTCAGTCAGCTCGTCACTACATTAGTTGAAAGGCATCTGAATACATGTGAAAAATGGTCTAAAACCATACTCTCCGACCCCCAACACCCCCTCTATTCCCAACTCTCTCCTTGTATCTCATCAGGTAGAACCAGAAATCAGTATAAAATAATATATGCTCGTACAACCAAGTACAGGAACTCAACGATACCATATTTGGCCCGTGTTCTAAGTGACAGAGACAATGTTAAGCGCGAAACCTATGACTTGCTTTGTTGTTAATAACATAATTTTAGGCTCTTTTATTTCTCTCTTATTTTGTATTCTATAGTGAACACCTTCTTAAACATACTTAGCTACATAAATTATTAACATTGGCTTACTTTTTTGTACTTTACTGTATTCCTTCTTTTGTGTATCCACTGGTTCCAACTATATTAGCACTATGAGTATTACAAAATTGTCCTGTCATTAACCATCATGTAATTATTAGTTTTTGTGGTTGTCGTTGTTTTTCTTGTCCGGCAATATTAACTGACAATCTTGGTTGTGAAAGCCATTATCACCATCTTGAAATTTTGTATTATGCAAGATTACTCACACTTCCACTACAAACACTGCATTAGACCTGACAATAAAAAAACAAAACAACAACCCTGAAATGTTATTTTATGATTGTTTAGTGTTGTTTCAACCAAATTAACTGATCATCTTGGCGATAAACATTCTTAAATATCATTTCATAACTTCTTGTATGACTATAGCTTTACTGTCACCATGCATAATCATATCATAGCTTCCACTACCCAATACTGAGATATTATTTATTATGTTGTTTATTTTCCTTTCTACTTCTTGGTATTTTTTCGCATTTTTTTTATTAACTTTGTGTTTTTTGTTGTTGTTGTCTTTATATTTATTTTTTTTGAAATACTCCTTTTAAACGTTGGATAAAATTAGATGCAAATATTGTAGATATGTGCTGAAAATTCCACACTGTACCACTAGTACTGTTTCTGAAATAAAGCAAATTATTATTATTATTACTATTACAATTTCATTTTGGAGACCAGTATCTTCAGATCACAATAATCATCTTCTTGAAACTATAAAGTGATAGAGTAAGCATACCTGCTGTATGTTTCTAGATAAATAATGATTGAAAAGACTCTCTAAGTACGTCTCATGTCGACCAGTAGTATATTCTAACCGAATTTGTATATGCACAGTAGACTTGTTGGGGTTGGGGTGGGGTGGGAATAAGTGAATGGATCAAGTTGTCAACACAATCGTCTCCTGTCACACTGAAATGCTGAAATGTTGTCTCTATGATTGACTTTGAATGTTTCCTGCTGTTTCACTCGATGTCAATATCTCAATGGATGGAAGTCAATTCTGTCTCTTCCCCTCTCTCTCCCTCTCTCATAGTTGTTTTTAAGAAACGATTTATTCACGAACTGACAGTTATTTCCCCCCTTTTTTCTCTCTCCTAATTTCTATTTTCTCAGCAATCTACCAACAAGGAGAGACAGAACATTCAAGTAAGTTTCATACTTTTCAAGTGTTGGCCTGCAGAAATTTGATTGACCTAAAGGTAAAGATAAAAAGATAAAGAGAGAATAAAGGACGCACTGGATACAGAACTCCGACCAGAACAAGCTGGATTCAGGAAAGACAAATCATGTTCTGACCAAATTGCAACTCTACGCATCATCATCACAGAACAAAGCATGGAATGGCAATCAAATCTCTACCTCAACTTCATAGACTTTGAGAAGGCCTTCGACAGCGTTGACCGCGAAGTAACTTGGAAACTACTCGAGTACTACGGTGTACCCCAAATATTCATCAACCTTATTCAACAGCTGTACGACAACGGCACATGTCAAGTGATCCACAACGGAAAACTCAGCGAAGCGTTTGGAGTAAATACAGGAGTCAGACAAGGGTGCTTATTATCACCAATGATGTTCCTAATTGTGGTGAACTGGATTATGCGTCAGACAGTGGAAAACGAGAAGACAGGGATATCCTGGACCGACGTGAAGAACCTAGAAGACCTGGATTTCGCGCGTGGATGATATATGTTTGATGTCACACAAAATCGAAGACGTACAAGCGAAAGCCGACAAACTGGTCGAAGAAGCAGCCAGAGAAGACAGGACTCCAGGTGAACATAGACAAGACAGAGGTGATGAAAATGACCAACCAACCAACAACAACAACAGCAGCAGCAGCAACACCCAGCGCCAATCACCATCAACGGAAGGGATTTGAGAGAGGTTACTTCATTCACTTATCTAGGGAACATTGTCTCAAATACAGGAGGAACGGACGAGGATGTCAAATCGAGAATCGGGAAGGCGAGAAACACATTCATCAACCTGAAACCAATCAATCTGGAAATCTTCGTCAATCAACTCAGCATCAACAACAAAATGATTCGGATTTTCAATACAAACGTCAAGTCAGTCAGTTCTTCTATACGGATCACTTGGAACTTGGCGGGTCACAAAGAATATTTCCAACAGCCTGTTGCAGACCTTTATCAACAGCTGTCTTCGCTCTATACTACTGAAGATCAGATGGCCAGAAAGAACAAGAACCAACAAGAAACTATGGGAAGAACCAATCGGCCAACAAATATGCAGGAGAAAGTGGAGATGGATTGGACACTCGCTGAGGAGGCCGTTGGGTGACATCGCGCGTCAGGCTAGTTCTCGGGTGTAACCCGAAAGGGAAGCGGCGAGTGGGACGTCGGTGCAAGGGTGACATGGAGGAGATCGTGTGAAGAGGAGTTGAAACAGTCTGGACTAACATGGGTGCAGGTGAAAAGTACAGCAGAAGATAGAAGCAAGTGGAGACGTGCAGTTGAATCCCTATATTCCACTAGGAACCCAAGGGAACAATAATAATAATAAAGGTAATTCACCAGAGTGACATCATTTTAAGGACTATTGAAAACCAAGGACTAATGGAAGGATGTTTCATGCCTAGTCTTGGACATCTCTCAGCAGTGAAAACTCTTTACTCATGGATGGATCGAACATAGAACCTTCGGGGTACTAAGAGAGCTTGTAAACGATTCAGCTACTGGGAAAGGATCCAGTAACCTATTAGTTCTAACCTCCAACCATCTATTATCATCAAATCAATGTGCACCGTGATGGCGAGCTACCTAGAATGGTGGCCACATTACAAACCTGACTGACTGATAGAATTCAGTCTGCACCAAAGACAGGACTAAACACATCACACTAGTTACTAGTGTCCAATCAAAATATCCACTACAGTCCTACAGGAGGTCAATCGTGAGTCCGAATAGCTCAAAGGTAACGTCTCTGACTGCAGGCGGCACTGGGTGACGCGGGTTCGAATCTCAGAAGAAGGAACATGAGTTCCTTCAAGGTTGCAGATACGCCTTGCTGACTACTGGTGAGTGTCAACTACTAGGAGACCTAGGTCCAAGGTTTCCTGCCGATTGCCTCCAACCATCTAATATCATGAAACCTCTATCAACTCAGCCAGTGTCATACTTGGTGAGTATTTGTCCTCACTCTCGACCGACATGGTGGACCCGCCTTGTCACAACTTCTCACTAGAACCCCAGGCAAATTCGTCCTACAGCCAGTCATTACCAGCATCAGATTAATTTTCCAGTGTTGGTTTGCAGGAATGAGGACGGTTTCAAGTTAGACCATATCCGCACCGCCTATGAGTCTCAAACTCCCTGCTGGTTTTCAGTTCTCCACTAACTGATGTCAATCTGTAATCAAATAAAACACAAACCAAATACTTACAAATAAACTCATCAAAAAGTTTTTGTTGCCTAATTAATTGGTGTTCATTCTTCTTTTGAATTACATTTAAGGACAACTACTATGGAATTGGTTTAATGGAGCGTTCTGTAAGTTTCCTGTACTTTCTGAAGTCGAATCCCAAACATATTGATTGACTGAATGAATGGATGAATTATCAGGATGTTTTTAGTTATTCCGCCAACTAAGAAAACGTCTGGGTAGTCTATGAACATGAATTTGTTTAGATGTGTGGATGGATAAATGCCATAACTGGCTGATTAGCATACAGAAATCCACCGATCAAACAACGTGTAGCCTTCCTACACTCGTTTGCAGATTGATGCTTTGTTGAAATGAACTCGTCGCTAAGTTCTTTTAGACCTGTTGCTAATTAATAGGATTACGTTGACAGCTGATATGAGTGAGTGGACTGATATGCTAGATAAACCTATTCGTTCCTAGTACCTGCTGCTTGAATGAGCCACGTAAAAATCAGAAGACAAAGACTGGCCTGTGACTGTTGAGATTCGATTTGTCTTAGGAGAACACATGTCATCTTGATGCACTTTTAACCATTAAAATCGGCCTAGGTCAGTGACAGTAGATTTTTCTGATTGGTTGGCGAATGGGCTTGTGTTAACACACCAAAGTAATTGCATACAAACACTATTCAAGAGAGCCAGGACTCATTGCAGCACTCCCACCTTAAGGAAAATTGAAGAAAGATATCTCATGGACGTCTTCCAAAATAATGGATATCTACGGAATTTCATCAAAAGACATATACCTCCAAGCCAAACTATCAAACCAAAAGCCCCCAAGGAAAGCACAAAGAAAATCCCCCAACCATATATAAAGGAAATCTCAGAAATCACAGCAAGATTCTTCAAATCTTTGAGAATTGACGTCGCACACCAACACCAACAAAATCACTTCATTCAGTACTATGTCAACCAAAAGACTCAACAACGAAAGAAGATAAAACCAACATCATCTACAAAATAAATTGTATCAACTGCGAAAAACACTACATTGGCCAAAGTGGACGTCCCCTTCATCTTCGTATCCACGAACATAAGCTAGCCGTCAAAAGACATGATATCCACTCCCTCAGTCATATCACTGCATAAAAACAACCACGGACATCAATTCGACTGGGACAACGTTCAAATATTAGACAGAGGAAACAACAAGAAGTAGAGAGAATTTTTAGAAGCTTGGCATTCCAGTGAATCATCAATCAATAGACACATCGAGATAGACAAAATTTATCAACCGATAAGAAGGAAACCTCACACACAAAGGGTCAAAGTTCAAGTCAAAGAAACAATCAGTTCCAATACAAGCAGCCTAGAGGGTGTGAAAACACACAAAAACAACCAGTCACGTTCAAGGTGGTCACCAGGAGAGATGACTAATAAACTCGTGGAGAAATCTAAAAGCTCACTTCAAATTGAAGTATGCTCTGAAGATGTCACCTAGTAGGGTGATGAAAGCTTCGCAAATTAACTATCCAGCTCAGAGAACACAACCACATCAAAATCATCCACCTGAGCTACAAATCTTCTCCATCGTATGCAAATATTCTGATTGGTTAGTGATTTCCCCAGGACCAAGCTCGTAGAGAAAGCTAGTGGAATCTTACAGTCAGCCAAGATCATCCAATCACATAATGAATCATATGATGAACCACAAGATGATTACTATTTTAAGCCAATTCCTATCACGCCTACGCAATTATAAGCAACCCACGCGTTTTCTGATTGGCAGATTTTAGTATGCTTATATCATGGTCAATCAGATGATTTTTGTCATTATGCGGTGCCACAAGTGTTTGGCACTATTTTGAATAGATGAGCAACGCCTTGTGTTAAGTCCATTTTAGTTAGTATCTGCAGTGGTGAATTCATTTTCAAGGAACTGCCCCTATGTTCTCATATTTCGGTTCCACCAGTAATGACCGCAAATTATTATTATTAATGATAAGACTGTCAAAGGAAGGTGTATCAAATGCGCAATTATTCAGAACATAAGATGAGATGTGAATAAACAAAAGGGTGTAATTATAGTCAACAGAATAGAAGTTTCATTGCCGGTGGGGGGGTTAGTTATATTCAGTGACGTGCGGGGAAAAGGATTACCACAAAATACATACAAAAGAATACCGAAAATAGGAAGCACTGAATGTATGTTCAAGAGCTGGCAATATTAAGTGACGAACTATCATTCCATATTATACATATTTCCCAATACAGTTACCGATGCATCATTATTAATATTTCCTTAGGTTCCTTGTAAGACACAAGGCTTCAACAGGCTTCACATCTCCATTTCATCCTGTCTTCCTCATCTGTACTTAGTTAGCTCCATGATTAACCACAGGTTCATATCTCCTCATCACACCATGTCTTCAATGGGACCTTTGGATCCATGTGCAACTCACCGTTTCTCACCCGGTCCCACTCTACGAACTGGTTTGCAATGTCACTCAAGTGTGTAGCCGATCCATCTTCACATTTACCTCAGCATATTTGTTGGGCAACAGGTTCCTAGTTGATTCCTTCCTAGAGTCTCTTGCTGCTTATCCTTGAAGTCCTGTCTCCTTCGCTTCTTCTCCTAACTTGTTACTTTTCATCTGTAGACCATCGAGTTTGTGTGACATTAAACAGAAATCATCCACAAAGTCCAAATGTTCTAGAGTCTTCTTATCAGTCCATAGTATACCTGTCACCTAGCTCTCCTATTAATTAGTCCTCTCAAAAGGATACCATGGACTTATCAATGATTAGTACTGACATATTCAACTTCTAATTTCGTAAGGAATTGCTTGACTTTATTGTTGTTTTGTGTTTGTGTTTCTGGAGCTGTTGTTGAGCTGGGGGGTCCACTTGTGAAGCTTCCATTTGTCTTTTGTACAACCTCTTCGACACTAATTACGAAGTGAATTTGGCTAAAGGAGTTGTACGTGAATGAAATATTCTAACTGTCCAAATGGTGACCTTCACTGCGACTGGTTGTTTCTGTAGACTTCCACATGATTGCATCCACTTTTATTAATATTGGTCCCCTAGATTGGCCCGCTATTTGACCCTCTTCCTCGTTGAACCTACTTGTTCTTACTGATTTACAAATTCTGATCTATATCCGCATATCTGTTAATCACGAATTGGTTATCAAATCAGGTTTTCAAGAAATTTACAGCGTTCTTTGTTCAAGGTTTTATCACGGCTTGGTATCAGTTAGAGAATCATTCAAAACCAACGGGGGAATTACTGCACAGCTGTTTCGTCCTAGTCCGCAACACATTGGAAATACATTCCCACCGAGACTCGAACTCAGAACCTTCCAGTTGCATGGCAAGCTCGTAGACTTTTCGGCCACAGGAAACTTACTTCTCAATCAGCAGCCCATGAATTCCAATTCCTGCCAGTTCGTGGTTTTAACAGCGCCAAAGGCAACAGCCAGTGTCATCACTGGTGAGTATTTGTCTTTAATCGCGACCGGTTGGATCCCACACTGGTTACTACTTCTCCCTAGAACTCACTCTAAGCAACTTTGTCCTGTAGCCCGTCAGTCCCTAGCGAGCATCAGATTAAATCTCATGAGTCCGTTTGTAGAGATATCAATCTGTGATCCAAATTGAAACAAAGAAAATGATAAAAAGCGTCATTTGTGCCTCTTCTGTCTAAAATCTGTTTTGAATTTACTGCAGATTTCGTTACAAATCGTCTTCACACTCTTGAAAGTTAACATCAGAATTTAACTTCACTGCTCCTGTGAATAACCGTCTTCAAGGTGAAATTGTTTGAGCGCAAATGAGGATTCATACCTGAGTGTTAGGCTTTATCGGAACGTGTTCAAATGAATGTTGCTTGTCCATAGTATGCAGTGACAATGAAGCTTAACTTTCCACAAGTTGAAATCTTCAAGTCACTAAACGTTGGACAAGTTCCTGAAGAGTAGTGCGCCTGATTTTCCCTATGTAATGATCCTTAGGTCCTTCTGCCCGCTCTCCCCCTCCACTTTGTAATGGAGTTACACTACCTCATTAGCAGTAAATGCATAGGAAGGTACTAGAATTACATATCAAAATGTTTTGAGTAGTTTACGCGTAAACACTAGGGTTTTTCTATGAATAACTGAGAAGAAAATCAATGTAAATTCACCTCTATTGTCTTACAGATTTTGTGCAAAGTACAGCGTAATACATGTAAATAGGTGAGTGGTGCCATTTCTGTTTTATTGTATTCACAAACAGGGTTAAAGGTTATCTCAAGGTTGTTTTCACACTTAGTATGGCGGAGAGATGTAATAGATATTTTAGTTGTATTAAAAAGGCATAAAATATTCTTAAAACAGCCAAAGGTATCTCATTTGATGAAATGACCAGTACGGTTTTTGATTATTCATTAAAATAAAAGTTTAGAACAATGTGGGCATCAATAGATGTGCTCCAGGAGAATAGTAAAACAGTAATGTAAGGGAAATATGAATAAAGTAATTGAGGAATAATATCCAGGAAGCAACTGAGGATACTTGTCAAGAGCATTCAAAGGCTGGTTCATTGCTTCATGTTACCCTCATAAAGTGAAGAAACGAGGAAATATCATCATGGTCATCTGTGATTACGATTCTTTGTCATATTTGATAACGCTCCGAACCACTGATTGGGATTGCCTATCGGATAAGACCCAGAAAGCTGTGATGAGTCAACTAATGTTAACCTAACACAACTATCCTTAGTTCCACGGTGCCACACAGTATGCTGGCTAGCTTTCGCCTTCTGCCACCCAGTCCTAGGGCTAGTAGATGTTATGGAAGCTTCACGGATGACATTCATGGTACATGTTGAAATCGCTGAGGCTGGCTTTTCTAGATGACGATACTCAATGTAAGATGACCTCTATCATGTTCAAACACATGAACTTCACAACTGCTTCGATGATTGTGCCATCAAACGCAAGCAATTCTGTGGGGGCAGCGATGGTTTTAAATGTACAGTCACTGCATATCCTCAGCTCTTGGAGGCCAGATTTCACATGCGTAGGGCAAGACAGCGTACACCAAAGTATTTTAAACCCAATCTTTGACAGCCTGGCTGAAGTCGTGATGTTGATGGTAGTCAAAAGCAGACGGTATGACAAAGATATGATATTTCCAACACAGAAGGTGAGTGGAAAATATGTTCTGCTATCAACCTGAAGGCCCTCAGTTTGAGGCCTGGTGAGGTCCTTAGTGCGCACCAGTGGGAAATTCTAGATTAGGATGGAACACCTGTTAGGTCCTTCAAAGCTCTTTAATAGTTAAACATTTGTGATCTACTCTTTACAAGACAGAATATCAATATTATAATTATTTCCTATTTCATACGGTTGCTCATAAACATACAGTGTGAATAGTCGAAATGTTACTGATACAACGTTTACGCTATGGTTGCACTTTCACAGCTCTTCCGTCACTATTCTTATTATTACACTTTTAGCGTGAGGTGATGTGGAGAAGTCCTGAAGAAAATTAATTCTGGCATTTACTCCCTATTTTACTCCTTTTTCTAGAGTAAATTGAATATGAAGAAGAAAACAAATTTTTATAAAAGTAGTATAGTAGATGTACAAGTAGTTTAGATTAGTTTAGTCTAAAATAAACTTTGTTTCTAAATAAAAAAAATGTGTTTTCCAATAGTGTGAAATTGTGTCTTCTTGTACGTACTAAACGTTGTGTTCATTACACGTTGTTGCATGATTGGGGACAGTTGACAGAGAGATTTCCACCCAATTTGCGTACTTGTTAATCCTACTCAGCGGAGTGTATCTGCAGCCTGGGAAGAAATGATCGGCAGACAGATATTTGAGGCTGTGTCACACAGGGCTGCAGTTAGATGTGTTACCAGTAGGCTGCTTCGGTTGCTAGTGACCTCCTGTAAGACAACAGCGAATACGCTCACTAGTCGCTGCATGTTATAACTGAAAAACAAGTGTTTCTTTCTGAACGCAGGAAAGCAGTTGGTACGCTCTTCTGCATAGCTTGCCACGCTTTCGTAAAAATTACTTTCCAACAATATCAATTCATGATTAAGCCTGAAAGAGTTCGTGGTATTACTTAGCAGCAACAACAAGGAACAAAGATGCAAAACTACCTTCAAAAGTTTCTCTGATACAAAATACGTTCTACGCAACAAAATTAATTGGAGAAACACATTCTTAATAATCATTAAGAATATTCCCAACAAGGTGGGATTAAAACTCTGCCTTCAAGATTCAAACGGAAAATACTAGTTCCCTGTGGACAGTCTGTGGTTTGCCGGAGTTTTCTGCTGTAGGCGGTACGATAGAATGGTTCCTAACATTGTGTGCGATGGATAACTCAGAAACAGGCTTTATTCTTCCTTCACTTTCCGAGCTACTGAAGCTCCAGTGACGACGGTGTTATATTCGGTTCCGGGTTGGTAGCCTTCTGTGAAACAAACTAGTTGGGCTGCTTGAAATACTTCGAACTCATTCCCAGTTGGCCTCAGCTATAAATAACGTTCATGACTGCTCTGTGGCCACCTACCTTACTAAACCCGAGGTTTGGTCACATTATCCACTGACTGGTCACCAGATTAGGTGGGCCAGGCTGTTCGCAACACGATCCCAACTAGTGAGGGAAGAATATATCATAAACGAAGATATGAAGAGAGTGCAGAGAGACACAGCCACACTACAACGCAGTAGCCGAGCTCTTGTCCCTTGAAAATTATATTGACCAGCATATGTTTCACTCCGCACAGATAAACAACTTATCTGTTGACTGTTAAAGGTCTCAGCCTCAATTGTGTTGACAGACTTCTTTGATCCTCTACAGCCTTACATCCAACCTTCCAGTTTTACGGGTTGACTACTGGCTAGTAAACTAGGCAAGGATCAGGACAGCTCTGGCTGAGAGTTGTACAGGGTCCACATGAGTCATTGTCGAGCATTCTGTCGTTTGGCCCTCAGTGAATTAATTAGAAGTTGGCATATAGGAACAAATTTATTTTATCAACGACGATAAGCATCAATCTTCTGTATTCTTTTCAAATTGATGTATACACATAATTGTATCAGATAAGTGGAACTATTCTACTATCGGCTAGTGTTAACGTCTATTATGAATATGAGTTTCAAGGAGATTTCATTTCATGTGCCTGCGGTTCCTGTGTCAGACTGTCCAACAGGTCATTATTGATGAGTGAATCAATTCCTGTAGTTGGGTGACGAAAAGAAATGCTCCAGCAGCCGTAAATGATCCGCTTACTTATCCCTTAGCTATCTGTCAAGAGAGTAATTATAATAATTATAATGTATATTTTCATAAAAACATAAATTTATATGAAAATGCATGCCATTTTTACAGGCACGATCAATTATGATATAATGTCAAATAGTAGATTGTCTACAAGTTATTAATGTTTCAACAGCTAAATATTTGATATATATGTATATACACTCATTGTCTGACCCAGGCCGTATGATTATTGAATTGTACAGTAGTCGCGCGCGGTTGGACCCACAAAATCAAGAGAAGAGAGAATTCGAAAAGTACCACTTGCATCCACAAGCAAGCTCGGCAACACAACAAAGGCTGAACAGAACCCGATGAAGCATAAAGTTGCTGATGCTGCAAATGAATACGAGAAGCCAAAGGCCAAACCTAAGTCTGAGGTTAATAGGTCTAATTCTCTTATCCTCTTTAACGTACCTGTGAGCAAGGGCAGCTTGCTTGAACAGCGGGCCCTGCTTGATCTGGAACAGTGGTCCAACCTGTGCAATAAATTAGGTCTGAACATTAGTTCACTGAAATTGTGCAGGCTGTACAGGGGTGTCCACACACCTCAAGGTAAGCCACTCCCATTATGGGCTACACTGGACTCTGCCGAAGAGGCCGAAAAGGTACTATTGATGGCTCAGGTACTAGCCATCGACAGAAGTTCGAACATAAGGGTGAGACAAGACAGACCATGGGCTATCAGACAAATGGCGAGGGAGTCACCAGAACCTTTGCCTTCTACCTCTATGGTGGTACACGGTGTTCCGGAGCTGGAAACGGGCACTGCCTGTGAAAAACACATGCATAACGTACAGCAGTGGAGATGGCTGTCGTCTCAGATGGCCCTTGGCGCTTCTGGAGCCATCTCCATTTCCCGACTACCTCGCCCCGCTCATCCCACACTGATTAGCTCCCCAAAGCTGCTAAGTGTCACATTCGACTCCCCAGAGCAGTTGGCCATAGCACTTCAACGGTGATATGAGATCAAGGGGAAAATGGGAGGACACATTCGATGCTGCGAAAGCAGACCTCGATGGGAAAAACCACAACGGGCCGGTTCCATCGGAACTGGCCAACTAGTCCCGACATTAAGTCCCCTACCAGCAGACAGCTTCACGTCAACTACTCAACAACACGCTGAGGTTGTAAGACTCACTCTCAACTGCCTATATAGCAATGTGAAGGAGCTGAGAGGAAAAATAGGTGAACTCCGAAATCTCCAAGCACGCCTACAACTGAAAATGATCATTCTCACCGAAACAGGGCTAACCCCCACTATCGCCGATAATGAAATCAGTATAGGTGATATGGTTCTGGTCAGGAGAGACAGGGATAACAAGGAAGGAGGGGGAGATGCTATATACTTTGGCAGGCAACTTAAATGTGTGCGCGCAACGGACCCACCACTTATTGAACTCCCAGACTCCATATGGTGTCATTTCACCGTAGGCTACACCAAGCATTTACTTGGTGGCATCTACCAACCTCACACCTGTGGGGCAGAGCACAATCAGCTACTGCTCAGCACTATCACAGGGATACGAGACTTGGGCTATGACCAAATCGCCATTGCTGGGGATTTCAATGCCCCATCACTGAACCTTGGCTCCGGGTATGCTAAGGGAAAATTCGGCCGAAATCTACTACAAACTATTCGAAACACGGGACTGAATGAGAACGTTGGAGACGACATTAGGTGGGGCCCTAGTGGAAAGTTATCAAAACTAGACTACATTCTAACTAGTGACCAAATGCTCGTCGGAAAGGTCCAGATCATGACTCCTCTAGGAAGTAGTGACCATACAGTCATAGTTTTCGATCTCGTTCTCCATGAGCATTTGCAGTGGGACGCTACGCAACCATGTCTATGTTACAGCAAGGCTGACTGTGCTGAAATGCGGAGGCTCTTGTCCGACAC